CTCTTCTCTTCTCTTCTCTTCTCTTCTCTTCTCTTCTCTTCTCTTCTATTCCATTCCATTCCATTCCATCCCATCCCATCCCATCCCATCCCATCCCATCTATTCTGTTCTTATTTATTTGCACCATGCATCAGGCTACATTTGATCCGGTAAAATGTTCATAGTAGTCTTTGGGAAGGGTTCAAAATAATTAAGACAGTGGCTAAATTTTGATCACACAATTGTGACCACCGGCTTAAATCGTCTGATCTTTTTCTCCCAATATATCATATTGCATTCTTGTGAAATAGCAAAACATGTTCAGAAATGCTGGTTCTGTTTAATCCAACTCTGTATAACTCCAGAGAGCAACATGCAAATCATGCATATATATATATATACATATATATATTGCAGACTCCATCTTAAGTGGCAAAGATCTCTACAGGGGGAATTTCAAAATGGCCACGGAGGCAGCCAGGATAGGTAAAAGATTTACACCATTCAAAGAGAAACCAAAACATTCTTAGGTGAAATTTCAGGAAAAAAAACCAACAAGAAATATAACAATTTAATAAGATCTATGCTTGTAGTAGCAAAAATAAATTTTGGTCAATATTGGAAGAAAGATTCAGTTAATATTCTACTGGGAACCTATACTTGAAGAACAGACAACAATGTAAAAACTAACAGTATAAATACACAATAGAAATTTTAATTGAAAATGTAAGCAAGGATGGTTATTCTTCATACAATAACATCACACAGCAGGGCAAATACAATTCCAAGCAAAGTTCTAGTGGTTAGGCTTAAATGTCTAAAATAGGGCACATTAGTGGTTGTGCAAATTATTAGAAACCGAATAATTCCTTTTCTTTTCTTTTTTTTCCCTTTGCAGCTATTTTGGGTATTTTAATTTTTGCTAAATATAATTTGCTTATCTATTTTTCCCATTTTATTAAGAGATGATAGATAGATAGATAGATAGATAGATAGATAGATAGATAGATAGATAGATAGATAGATGATTGATAGATAGGTAGACAGACAGAGAGACAGATACCTGTCCGTCTTATCTATTTCTCTTTATCATCTATCAATATCTGTCTATCTATCCCTACCTATTAACTATCATCTCTCTTCTATCTGTCTGTCTGTTTGTCTGTCTATTATGGAATAGAGACTTAATTCTAAACAAGACTGAAACCTAGTTTGAGATAATCTGCAGTAGTTTCTTCTTTCTAATGTTATAATATTGGATATGTGGAAGATAGTCCTTAACTAGTTTTTAAGTGACTTGTGGCCAATTTCACATCTTTTTGCCATGGTTCTTAAGCAAATCCTGCAGTTATTAAGTGAATAATGTGGTCATTAAGCGTATCTGGCTTCCCCCATTGACTTTGCTGGTTGGATGTTGGCTGGGAAGGCCAGAAATTGAAACCATTTTACCCTGGTTTTCTGTAACCAAATTTTGAGGGATGCTGGGATGTTCATAAGCATGAGGACTGATTCTAAGTGTTTTTTTCAGTGCTGTTGTAACTTTGAACAATCACTAAATGAATGGTTGTAAGCCAAGGACTTCTGGCAGATGTAAGCAGACAGTTCAGTACCATTAAGACTAGAGTTTTTTATTAATTAAATTGGTGGATTAATCCATTAGAGTCTGAATAACTGGTGAAGGCCAATGTTAGTTACTGTTGCTGTCAGTCATAAACATATTTTGGCTCATCAACAGAAGCTATCTCTAATGAGTTACTATTATAAATGAAAGGAAATGATCAACAATTACTCTATATTGCTCTGTTTTTTTTAATAACGGATGCCTTCTTTGTTTATTAAATTCTAAAATTATCTTACGTTTCCATCACTTCATGGTATGAGATGGCATTCCTCTTGAAGTTCAGTAATATATATTTAAATATAATTGATGGAGTAATTAAAAGGAAGATGCTTAATCAACTGGAAGTTGTTAATGGGTTGGTGGCTCATATTTCAATGAATATGAAAGATATGAAATTTCCTTCCTGTCTCCCAAAGCCTCAATTAACATCTTCCTTCTTTCAGGTGGAAAAGATTCACAAGGGGTTAGAAGAACCTCACGTCAAAGGATAACCGTGGAGAAAAATACAACTGTCTAATTTTTGAAGCGGCACGGAACTGTCTATCACACCAAACAATAATTGGTCCAAGGTACATTCTCCAAAAATTTCCCTTTGGTTGAATGTAAAAGTACTCCTGGACATACAAGCATTTGTTCAGGGACCGTTCAAAAGTATAATGGCACTGAAAAAAAGTGTCTTTCAACCATTTTTCATACTTATGACCATTGCAGCATCTCCATGGTCATGTGATCAAATTCCAGGCGCTTGGCAAGGGGCTAATATATATGACAGTTGCAATGTCCTGGGGTCATGTGATCACCTTTTGTGACCTTTGAGAAGTCAATGGGGAAGCCAGATTCACTTAACAACCGTGGTACTGTCTTGAAAATGCAATGATTCACTTAACAACTGTGCCAAGAAAGGTTGTAAAATGGGGCAAAACTCACTTATCAATTGTCTTGCATAGCAACTGAAATTTTGGGCTCATTTGTGGTCTTAAGTCAAGGACTTATGCCTGTATTGTAGTCTAATAGCAAAACATTGTTGTTGTGGCTGCTACTAGATGTTCTCAGCCAGGTCCTACCAGCCCAGGGACCAGTGTTTTTTCAACCTTGTCAACTTTAAGACTGGTGGATTTCAGTTCCCAGAATTCCTCAGGCAGCCATGGAGTTGAAGTCCACCTGTCTAAAAGTTAAGCAACACTTTGTGGGGTTGATTCTCCAATTCCCAGTTATCTTTTGGTGATGATAGCTAGGAATTCTGGGATCCGCAGTCCCAAGAAATCCAGTGCTTGATCCTAGGAATAGAAAAACCATTTGAATGGAGAAAAGAGGTAGGGAACATAACAAAGAAATAAATTTACTCCGTGTTATTTAAGATACGTAGAAGGAGAGCCATATCTATAGTGTTTACTATAATTTTGCAAAGGGCTGAACAATTCAGTGTCCCTTCCTAAGTCATAAAGTACATACTATCTGTTTTCCACTGGCTTTAATTAATGTGGAGTCTCTTGTCACGTGAGCTCATTAGATACATAAAGCAATATTTAAGATGCTACCAAATCAGATTTATTGGTCACACAATTCCTAATGTTGCATACTCGAGGTTTCTTCAGTCTTAGAGTCTCTGTCAGATTTCCAACATGACTAAAAACTAGGAATCCAATAAGGATTTAAGATCTGAACCGCAAAAAGATACACAACCACTAGAGGGCAGCAAATAATTACAGTAAGGCTCTCGCGTATCTGGGCTGCCATCTAGCAGCCATAAGGTATTTGTAGCCCAAACGGGATATCTCTGTAGTGAGAGCATTCAGGTGATACAGGTAATTGAGTCCAACATTTCTATTGCTAAACAAGACAGTTGTTAAGTGAGTTTTGCTCCATTTTACAACCTTTCTTGCCACAATAGTTAAGTGAATCACTGCAGTTGTTAAGTTAGCAACATGGTTGTTAAGTGAATCTGGCTTCCCCATTGAATATGCTTGTCAGAAAGTCTCAAAAGGTGATCACGTGACCCCCCCAGGGACAAAGCAACGGTCATAAATATGAGTCAGTTGCCAAGCATCTGAATTTTGATCACACGGCCATGGGGAAGTTGCAATGGTTGTAAGTGTGACTGCTTTTTCATCGTTGTTGTAGCTTCGAATTGTCATTAAATGAATAGTCGAGGTCTACTATATGTCTCCTTCTACATTGCCTTTGAACATTGCTGTTATTACTTATAATTATTTAGTAAATTTATATGCTGTCCATCTCACAGTTTTTGGCAACTCTGGGCAGCTCAATCCTATGGCGCTTTGGTTTTGCAACTCACAGTAGATTCTGCCTTATAAGAGTTCATCATGTCATAATAAATGCAGTAGTTGTTCATGTGCTACCGGACTATTTACAAGTTAACATTACTTGTCCTGTTGAGTTGGAGAACAGGAATGAGATAACAGGCAGAACATGCATTCAATCTCCCCAAAGCAAATGACTATCTCAGTCTATGCCGGCTGCACAAAATATGATTTGGGATATCTGTGGAGATTCTCAGTCATCCAGGTCATAGTTTTTTTCATCTTCAAAAGGCAACTGGACTATTATTTTTTTCCTTTGAGGAAAAAGAGGAAAGTGTTTCGCAGATAAACTGATGAAGCTTCTTGGATAAGAAGTGAAACATTTTCTTCTTCCACCTCAAGGGAAAAATCGCACAGAAGAAAAAAAAGCATCTTTGAAATAAAATGGGATGATGATTTGACAAACAGAAAAAGAGAAAACAGAAAATATGTTATGACTCCATAAGCTTTTGAAAGCATCAGTTGTGTCTCTTGCAGTAGTGCCTGGTCCTTAAAAGCTTACTACCACCTAAGTAGAATTAAAGATTTTGCAAACTCTCGGATATATTTCTGTATGACTCGATGTAACCGATCTCAAATAAATAGGGCAGACAGATGGATGATAAATATCCAGAACGGCGTTTCTAATTTCAACAAAGGAGAATATTCACAGCCCAGAGTTGAACTATGGGGATCCTTGGTGCTCTCTGAGCTTGGTTTTTCTCTTGCACATGTTTCGTTACTCAAACTAGGTAAAGTCATCAGTGTTCACCTAATTTGGCAAATGAAATGTCTGCAAGAAAACAACCAGCTCAGAGAGCACCAATTTTTATTTTTATTCAGTCTTTAGCTTATCATAACATGGCACATAAGAAATCAAGCAACACCTCCAATCACCTTAATAATTCCCTCCATAATATTCTGAAACTTAATATTTTTGTATTTGTGTGTAATAGTTTTGATACATAATATTTCTGCATCTTATGATTTATGATTTATGACTTTGTTACTTTTATGTACACTGAGAGCTTTTTGTACCAGAGACAAAATACTTTGGCTAATAAACAATATTCTATTCTATTCCATTCCACCTTACCCCATTCTAAGGTTGATTTCTCTTCTGACAATCCTTTCACTTTATTTAAAAGTCTATTGTTTCCTCTTTCCCTTTCTTCTTTCAGACTTTTTTTAAAAAATTTAAAAAAATCAGGAGAAATCTTTCCTATGATGCACTCCTTGACCAGCCAAACCCTGGTTTCTACAGGCTGCTTTGTTTGGTGTTTTTAATTCCGAGTTTGCAAAGGTTTCCCTCCTGCTTTTATGCCCAAGATTTGAGACCCAATTTTTGCAACTGCTTTCCATTATATCCCATTTCTCTCCCCCTCCTCTCTCCCCCCCTCCCTCCCTCTCTCTCCCCCTCCCTCCCTCCCTCCCTCCCTCCCTCTCTCTCTCTCTCTCTGGCTTGCTTTCTCTGTCTCATTTGACAGGCAAATTTGCAGACGTAGCCCGAGGATAACAACCTCGTTTGACAGTCAATTAAGCGTGAATAGTCAAAGCCGAGACAGTTTGCATTACATAAATGGAAAATTACATTCGCTCCCTCCCCCCCGGTTTCGTCTTTTCTGTCTCCCCTGAAACAAAACCTCTTTCCTTACAAACCTCCCTGGCAATACCCAACTTAGTATCAAAACTTCTAATCACGTTTTCCCCCCCCCCTTTCTTCTCTCCCTCCTTCCCCTCCTCAAAACCCTTAGAGACATTTAGCAATCAGTAAAAGGTGGTTCCATTTAATTTGTATAATGTAATTTTTGTCAATGTATTATACATTTTGTGTAGAGATCATTATCACGGAGATAATATAAATGTTGCCTTAGATCTCATAAAACACCTTTAATGTCTCTCTGACAGATATTAAAAGCAATAAGCTGTGATCCTTTTTAATGGAAGGTTTCAAAGAGAACATTTCAATTATTGTCATTTTATGCCGTTTCCAGCCCCCCCCCCTTCCCAGCCTGCTCCATTGTGTAACCTGATATATTTCTGAAATTTCTTGCTAAAATATGACCCGCAATTAATATTCTTATTGCTATTAACACAGTGCCACCCCAGCTTATTTGTATTCTCCCCTTAGTTATTCCATCTATTAAGGGTTGTTCTATTTTTATTTTGTGGGGAGGGGACAAAAACAAGCCCTACGAAATATTCAGTCGTTTGATTAAGAATTTTCAAGAGGAGCTTCTGTGCATGCCAAGTAGGGAAGAGACACCGTGGAAATCAGTAGGCTTACTTTGAAGTAAACACGTGTTCTGGGTTTGATTCCTGCTCCTTTCGACACCCACCTGCTATATTTCTCCAAAAGTCCCCTGGATGTTCAGCGTCTGTGATGAAAAAACTGTGTTCCTTGTTCTTATCTAAGCACAAAGAAAAGGAGGAAGAAAAAGTAAATGCAGGCAGTCCTTGACTTAGAACAGTTCACTTAGCGACCATTCAAAGTTACGACGACACTGAAAAAAGTGACTTATGACCATTTTTCACATTTACGACCGTGACAGCATCCCCAGGGTCACGTGATTTACATTTGGATGCTTGGCAACTGACCCAGTTTTATGACGGTTGCGGTGTCCCGGGGTCACATTAATCCCCTTTGGCCAAAATTTTTGACAAGCCAAGTCCGTGGGGAAGCCAGGTTTATTTAACAACCGTGTTGCTAATTTAACAATTGCAGTGATTCACTTAACAACCACGGCATGAAAAGTTGTAACATGGGGGCAAAACTCACTTAACCAATTTCTCACTGAGCATCATAAATTCTGGGCTCAGTCGTAGTTGTAACTTGAGGATTACTTGTATTGGCCAAAACAGAGAAATCTCCTTAACATTTCTGTTGAAACTGAAAGAAGAGATACTCAGAATGAGAGAGGTGTTATACAGGTAGTCCTTGACTTACAACGGTTCACATGTTTTTATTTATTCATTTATTTATTGAATGTATATTGCCGCCTATTCACCCACGGTGACTTGAGGCGGCTTAGAGAATGTAAAACCATATTTAAAATAAAAAAACAATAAAAACTAATAAAAATAATCAAATGAGTAAAGTAAAATAGAACAAAATCTGGAAAAAAATAAATAAATAAAATAGTGACCATCAGAAGTTACAGTAGCACTGAAAACAGTGACTTATGACTGCTTTTCACACTTACGACCATTGCAGCATCACGTGAACAAAAACTCAGGTGCTTGGCAACTGGCATGTACTTATGAGGGTTGCAGTGTCCCAGGGTCATGCGATTCCCTTTTGCAACTTTCTGACAAGCAAAGTCAACAGGGAAACCAGATTCATCTAACAGCCGTGTTGGTAACTTGACCCCTGCCGTGACAAAAGTCACTTAAAAACTGTCTGGCTTAGCCACAGAAATTTTGGGCTCAATTGTGGTTGTAAGTCGAAAACTACCTGCGTTTCATTGCTGATGTCTTATCCTTCACATACTAATTATGTTCATACGACACCCTTACTCAGATCAGTTAGAAATCTAGAGGTTATATTGGCACAGCCAGGGTGAACAGGTTTGTCCAGGGAAGTTAAGATGGCGGCTGCGATGGTACAATGAAAGCACTGCTACAATCGTCATCCTGCCCCTGGAAGTTGTGAGTGGTGCTCCGTTAGTGGAGGAGCACCCACCTCAAGAAGAAATTGGACAACCGTCTGACCAGAACGGTACAGTGTCTCCTGTTTGATCAGGGATTTGAACCAGTGGTGGGATGCTGCCGGTTTGACAACCGGTTTGGTGAGAGCGTGCTTCGCGTGCTCGCTCACCTAAGGTGCTTGTGCGCAGCGCTGAAAATGGGGCATTTAGAAGCTCGGCTGCTTCCTTTCCAAGTCAGCAAAGGTAAGCAGAACAGCAAGAGAGGAGGAATCAGCTGTGCCTCGTGATTGAGATGAGCGGGCGGGATGGGCCAGCTGACCATCAGAACAACCGGTTCGTATGAACCAGTCTGAACCGGTAGCATCCCACCACTGGTTTGAACAAGAATATCTCCAAGGTTCCTTTCCATCCTTGCTTTTTCTGCATTTTGTATCTTGACTTTATTTGACCACGCCTTGTGGATAACCCTGCTAAGTGTGGCCAGGGTTAAGCTTGGTTAATCTTGTAAACCTACGCTATGCAGGTAGTCCTCGACTTACAACGGTTCCTTTAGCAAACGTTCCAAGTTGCGGCACTGGAAAAAAGTGACTTATGTCCCTTTCTCCAAACTTACAGCCCTCACAGCATCCCCGTGGCCATGGGATCAAAATTCAGATGCTTCACCACTGGTTCATTTTTATGACGGTCGCAATGTCCCGGCATCACGTGATCGCCTTTGGTGATCTTTGGACAAGCAAAGTCAAGGGGTAAGCCGGATTCACTTAACAACCATGTGACTAACTTTAAGAAATGCATTGATTCACTTAACAACTGTGGCAAGAAAAGTCGTAAAATGGGGCAAAAATCTCTTAACAAATATCTCACCTAGTAACATAAATTTTGGGCTCAATTGTGTTCGTAACTCGAGGACTACCTGTGTACGACTGACTTACAATGCACCACAAATGAAGGTCATTTGGTCAGTGAGTGGCTCATATCGCACGAACCCAGAAAATGGGTTAATTCAGTGATCTGGTTAGGCATCTTGTATAGGCAACTATTATGATGCTGAATTTCTCCTCCTCCTCCTTCTCATTTTCTCATTAAATATAAATTAGATCAGGACAGAACAGCTCTATTTATCTATAAAAGAGATAAAGAGAGAAGCTAGCTATCAATAAAAAAGAGATGGAAAGCTGTACCTAGCTGTAAAAAATAAATGTTAAAAGATGGATACAGATGGAGAAATAGGTCTCTTCTCTTAACATCCTTCATCCCCATCCCATATACATACACCTATACACAAACACACACAAACACATGTTGTTTAAGGTTCAGAATCTTGACACTAAAACTTTTCAGGAACTACGCAGCAGGACCAAAACAGTTTGGGGGTCTATTTTAGGAGATGCAAGTCCATTTTGCTCCCTCCTGACTGCACCCCAGGGATGGAAACACAACAGGAATCCATTGCATTGCCTTGCCTGAGAAATTATCTTCCTTGGAAGAAGAGAGGCTGACGGGATGGGCTTCCTTGCTTTTCGGAATCTGCCAACATGGAAAGAAATAAACAACAAGCAAAAATTAGATGGAAGGAAGGAAGGAAGGAAGAAAACAGTCTCCCACCCCCAATTATTAGTGATTAGAGAACATTAGTGCTGTTTCTCTCTCTCTCTCCCTCTCCCTCCCTCCCTCTCTCTCTCTCTCTCACACACACACACTCCCCCTCTCAGTCTCACACACTATGTATGTGTGAGAGAGGGGGGAGGGAGAGAATTACACACCCAGGGTAAATCTCATATCAAGATTTGTGGTAGCTTTCATTGGGAGATAGGGTCATTTCTTGAGTACCCAACTAGTACTCAACTTGTAACCTAACATACAAATCAAAAACTATGAAAGGTGACAATGGGTTGGATCCTGATTGTGGGTTTGAGCAATCTCACTAATGTCAATGGGAACCTTGTTTTGAACTGAAAAAGATCCACTTCCAAGATCTTTTTTTTCCTCCCAATGTACTAGGATTTATGTTGTAACGGGGTGTGAGAATGACCTTGGGAAACAGAAGGAAGGGAAGGTACAGCGATAATCAGATAAGAGAAGACACAGCTGACAACTGCGTAATGGGCAGAGGAAGAGATTCAGAAAGGATTCTGAAGTTGTCAGTCTGCAATGGAAATGATAGGAGATTTGTACTTTCAGCCTTACAAGATTATGTTAATCCTTACAACAGAATTAGTTCACCTGGCATGTTTCTACCTGGTGGTTCTTAAGGTGTTGTCCACCAACTTCCAGATTACCACCAGATGGCAGCAAAGAGATGGCCATTGTTTGCCTTTGCTGGCATCAAGAGGTTGTGTGGATGTCTGCAGGCCAAGTCTGATAAGCTGACATAACTATTGGTTCCGCTGAATGCAGAGATGCTGAGAGCTGTCCTTCAAAAGAGGTGAAGGTCATTGCATTTTAGAAGAGTAACCATAGTAGGAAAAATCTGAGGTTCTTTAGAGATCGCTCGAGTCCCTCTTCTGCTGTGGCCAGAGTTGATGGAGGGGTATGACCTCCAAGTGGAGAAAGTTGCAAATTCTCTTGGATTTGAGGGTCCTGGTTAATCAACCTAGGCTGTATTGCCAAGGGTTTCTTTGTAGGATTTGGGCACCAGATTTTGGGAGATGAATTGCAGTAGAGTTTATATGTCAAACTTATGTTTTCATGATATCAGTGCACATACAGGTAATTTTTCTATCAACTGTATAGAAATAGCCTTTCTTTCTTTCTTTCTTTCTTTCTTTCTTTCTTTCTTTCTTTCTTTCTTTCTTTCTTTCTTTCTTTCTTTCTTTCTT